CACATGAACACTGACTGCCATCCCCTCTTGATTTTAGATTTAAAAGGCACAAGCAGAGACTGCTAGCTCAGCACTGTTATTTCAACATAACATTTTCCTTAGGGAAACATCAGCACACAAGGTAAAAAAACAACCCTTAGAAATGTGTTGCCTTTGATTAAGCTTTTTCCTTGTCAGACCGTAGGAAGAGCTCTGCAGCTGCACACCAGCATTCCCAGTCCAGGGTGTTCCAGTGCCTCCAAGCTCAGCACAAGATTGTTCCCCCATGCCCACAACAGGGATATCCCAAGAGCTGAGAAGTCTTGTGGAAACTGCTGTTACAGCTTAATCTTAATTTGCCAAAGCAGCTGGTGCTCTGCCATGGGATAACTGCTTGCCCTGAGGGTCTGCCAGGCCAGGGGCTCCAGCTGCACCCAGGCCCCAGAGCCATCGAGCTCATTGATGAAGTTGTCCCCATCATGGCTCTCACTTGGTGAAGTGACAACTCTCACATACATCTCTCTTCTCCCTGCCAGAACCACTTGTTGCTGGTTTTGGAAACACAGAGAGTGAATATCCATCCTTAATGCAGTTCCCCAGAAGAGCAGAGACCCTCACACCTCCCAAATTAGAATAATATCAAATAGAAATGTGTTTGAGATTTGCATGAACCTGGATTTATGGATGGCCGTTAACCCTGAATGCAGGTATAGGACATCACATTTGACTGATTTCAGCTCTACTCTGATTAAGTGTTCAGGAGAGTCACCAGAATCCCAAGACCTTTATCCTCATAAACCTTCTGGATTTAATAGTGACAACGTCTAGTGGGTGAATTAAGCAAGTCAATTTTATAGCAAAGGCAAGTCAAAGCTGCTATAATTAATTCAAATTAACACCCACGAGCTCCTGAAGCCTATCATTGTAGGGTGTTGCTTCAGGGACAGCTGCAGAAACATCCAAATACAACTCATCATCAGGATCTTCAACACTGAACATTCCCCAGGAAACCAAAAGTAACCTGCACAAAAGCAGGCTGGATTACAGAAACCCAGATGTTCTCTTCCTGCAGAATTTTATTATTAGCACAGTCAACAAAGCAAAACCGTTTCCTGTAAATATGACTCTTTAACATTACTTTTATCTGTTCAGTATTAAGCCTGAATTACTGGAGTGTATCCCATGGCACAAATGGTCTATGACAGGGCCTCTACCTGTGATACCTCTGAAACTCTGAATAGCCCAATGCCATTCAGGAAATAAGAAAGGAATGTGGTTTGCAGCTGCAACCTTCACTATTTTTTCTATTCCTCTAGGAAAGCACAGAGTCCAGCATGGATATTTAACACGGGAGAAAATAACAAAGCAGCAGCTCTAAATCAAAAAAAACCTTATCCTTAGACAACAAAATTATTATTTAGATGCAGAAAACTACAATTTTGACATTACAGTGAAACATGGCCCAACTGTTTCTGGAAATACTGGTGGAAACAGAGGCCAGGGAGTCATTTTGGAAAATCAGGTTGTGGAAGGTGCTCATAGACTGTTGCTGGAGTACAATTAAGTTTTCTGAGCTGCTAGATAGTCAATTGTACAGGAAGAAAGAACAGCCAGAGAAATGCTCCTAGGTGCAGGAAAGGATTTTGCTGGATAAATACTGTGCACTCCACCCTGATGCACTCATGGTCTGAGCTGAGGGTGACCTCATCCACACACCAGCATGGATGCTTGACTTGCTGCTGCAAGAACATTGCTTTGAGTTTGATGTTTGATGAGAATTGTACCTCTAATACCACAAAAATGGCCACATTTGCCACTATCCAAAAAGAGATTTGGCTTCATTTGGTGACGATGTCCTGCCAGAAGCCCAGAGGGGCAGTAGACAGAAGTGAAATTGGATGGCGAATGTCCAGAGAAACCAATGACTGGTTAGAACCAGGGAACTTTGCCACACAGAGCTGTTACCAGCCTTTACTCCCCTGGAAGAAACTGGCTATTTGAGCAGCAATTCACAGGAGAAAAACATGCTGGTGTGTTAAGGCTGCACACCCAGCTTTGCTCTGCTCCAGCCTTCATCAGCCACTGGTTCTCTCCACATCTCCATCCCTGGGGCAGCAACCAGTGGATCAGCAAAAGCAGGATGATGCTCCCACTCAGGTTAAGGCTCTGTGCTGACACTCCAGCCAGCCGTGGAGGTGGCAGGTTTCCTTGGCCTGCGTGAACCGAGGCTGCTTGGGAGATGCTTTGCATGAGATGAACTCCACTGGCACAAAACCTCCCGCTGGCACAGCAGGACTGGGCAGGCAGACACGTGTGACAGGGCAGGGGAGCTGAGCAGAAAGAAACATGTTTTCTACAGGCTCTCTTCAGATTTAAATGGCACTTCTGTAAGCGATGCTAAACGACACCACCCTCCCTCCACCCCTCACTCCCAGTTGCCTACTTACATTAGCATTTGCCAGCTGTCAAGCTCTTGCTCACTTCCAGTGAAAACTCCTCGATTTTCTCCTCTTCCAGTGATTATGTTGAACTGCTGGGATCAGATCCTGGTGACACTGGAATTGTCAAATAATCCTCTGCTGCTTTTTTATATCTTTCTACCCTCTTCTCCTTATTAATGTGAGCCAATACGGAGCCCAGCACAGACACAATGCTCTCCAGCAGCACACAGGAATGACTGCCAGCCTCCTCAGAATTGTCTCCTAACAGAGAGCTGAGGTTCTTTATAGCAGAAACAGCTCTCAGACACACTAAGAGCTCACATCACTTACCCAAGAGATCCCACAGACGTCACATCTTCAAGAGTTGTCTAAAGCCATTTCCTTCTGCTTTATCAGAATGGTCAGGCTGGCTCTGAGCACCAGTGCCTCTAGCCCAGCACTCTGTCCCTAAGACCAAATAGTTGTGTATGTCTGCAGAGAAGTTTAGGAGCAGGACAAACTCACAGCAGTTGCCTGGGGTGCTCTGATGGGCTCCAGTAATCTGGGCTTAGAGACTTTCTGCAGTCTCCTGGTGTGTAACAGCCCTTACTGCATCTCTCTGCCGTTAATTCATCTAATTGTTTCTTGCACCATTTGAGCACCATTTGGCCACCTCAGCCTCCCAGAGTAATGATGCCACAGTGGAACAACATGATGGGAGAAGGAACAGCTCACTGGTTTGTGCTGGTGAGGTCCCCAGCTGCAGCAGTTCACTCTTTCCTGCATAACCCCCTTGCACTCAGCCAAAGCACCCTTGCCTTGCTGCTCTTCAAGCTCCAAAGGAAGCCCAGCCTTGTGGCCTCTATCTACCAGAACAACTTCAGGGAAGAAAGATTTGTTGGATGGAAGAATGAGACCAGAACCCCAACTTGACTCATATCAGTGGCTAAAAATTAGACATGGTTCATGTTCTGCTTTCTCCTGGACTCCACAGCTGCTGCATGTGAACAAAACATCTGGCTTACCTGAACATCTCTGAAGTACTTTGGACTTTTGGGTTGAAAAACGTTAGCAAAAAAAAGCAGGCATGTAGATGTGAGATGCATGTAGGCTTGTAGACATCCCTCCATTCCACTCTCAGGTTCTTTAAAATCATTTTCTCCTAAAGCCCAATTTAGAAACCGCAGGAGAGACTTGACGTTTTTATGGAAATTCTCAAATTTACAGAAGTGCTGAGCTGAACTGGGATTTGAAGGGAAGGCTTCTTTGCTATCTCTCCTGCCATTTAAACACCAAGCAGGGATACACTGGCAGAGGTGGCCAGAAATAGATTCAAAACTTCAAAAGTGTCAAAATTGAATTTTGAAGAATAGGGGATTGAGAGAGAGTCAGACAGTGTAGCCTGGGTCTCAGAAATCTGAGCACTCACTTTTGCTTCAGAAAATGAAGTTTAGATAACAAACATGGCTGGTGAATGCCTTAACCTTTGCTGGAGCTCAAATTCCCTGCCAAAAGTTGTGGGCCAGATAAACTAATATTTTCTGATGAGAAATTGTTTTGCAGAAAGTTTCTGGCTATCCTCCATATCACACAGCATCCAGAGGTGTGATCAAAGCCTCTGCCAGATAAAACATTCCTGCTCTGTGACACTCAGCCCAGGCCAAGCTGCAAAAGTTAATTTACTGTAAGTTACTGATAGTGTCACTGATGGTTTATCATTCCCAGGTTGGTATGTCTTTACAGTGATTTAAACTGGTAACAGCTTGGACCTCATTTTTAATTACACTTTGAGTCTGGCTGCCTGGTTATTGCACAGGCAAAACTATTGGTGTGCAAATCAGGTCATAAACCACCACTCAGCCAGGTCATTTAGGGGAACATCTAAAATGACATGTGTGTTACTGTCACGAGCATCACCCCTAATAATTGTGTACTCCCTTAAAGAGATTTTTTAGCAAGTTGTGTTTAAAAACCAGACTGGAGTTCAGGTATGTCCCGACAACAAGGTGTTTAACAGAGCTGTGCTGGCTCTAATGTCCCTCTTTTGCATCCTTTCAGGAACAGAAATAGATTAATCACCATCACAACATTAGATAATGTGGAGATTGCAGAGAATACATGAAATAAATTGGGAATGGCAGAGTAAATACCTGAACTGGCAATACTGGGCCTGTCACACCATTGCTGGGAGAGCCCACAAAGCACCTTGTTAGCTGTGAGAGCTGGAATTGGAGCTGCAGCCTCACCTCCACATAGTCCAGCTCAGGCAAAATTAAGAAATAAATTAGAATTCAGCCATGCCTTGATGGGTGATCTTGCATCCCTGCTGCCACTCAGCCTGCAGTATTTCACCTGCCATTTAAATGTGTTTTCTCTGTAAAAGCCTCAAATGCTGCAGCATCAACGTGTCAGAGTGCCTTCTTGAACAGAATGTCCTCCCAGCCAAAAAGCTCTTGACCTGACCTTGGTCTTGATGCAAGAACAGTGGGGAAAAAAAAAACAAAAAAAACCATTTGAGAGAAATGTTACATGTTACTAAAAATAAATTGTGTAAAAATAATTACTTAATTTAAACAAGAAACTGAACAAATAGGCAACCTATTAATGTGTTTCTAATCTAGAGGTCAGGAGGGGAGTGACATGTCCAGACTTTTCATCTGGGCTGTGGTACAAGGTGAACCAGAGGGAAGCACAACCTTGGCATTCAGCAGACTCCAGAGCCAGAGCACAATCTCCTGCACTGTCAGCTCTAACCTGCTGGGACAGGAGCAGGCTCTCAAGTCCACCCAGGAGCACCATTCTCTGAATTTCTGTGCAGGATGATGCCCCACGGCTGCAGGAGGCACAGACCCTCTGGACAAAGCATTGCCTGCAAAAAAAGACCAGGTAAAACAAGCAAGCATTACGTGTGCAATCTGACAATAAGAGGGTGGGAAGCGACCAGCAGAATTTCCAAGTAAATCACGGCAAGCCAATTTGTCAAGATAATTAGCACAGAGGCAAAGGGGAGCGGTGGATGTGATACATCTTGGCTCAGGAAGGCTTGTGACACCGTCCCATTTCACTTTCACATAAGCAAAATGAGGAAGTGGAAGCTAAGTGAAAATTTACCACAAAACTACACTCTCAAAATTATCGTCTGCAGCTCAGTGTCAACCACAGCCCTGCCCTATAGCCCATGGTTTGCTGTCAAAACTGCAAATGCATGGCTGGAAGGGGCACCTCACTCAGGGTAACAGCTCAAGATGACCTCCCCAGATAGAAAAATTCACCCAACATCCCCATGGTGAAGGTCAATAAAAATCTGTGGAACATCACAGCCCAACAAGTAGGTTGAGGCTCCTTAGAATCACTCCTTTCTCCCTGGAAGAGGAAGCAGCCCCTTTCCTTGTGAAACCTTCTGCTGAGCCTGCTTGAGAGATTCTCCCTGCAATTAAAACTGAGAGAGCTTTCCCAGTGACAGCTGAGTTTCATCTGTGCCTCATTTCTGGATGGATGGTGCTGGGCTTCACTCCTGGCCCTGTGCTGCTGGCTCCTGAGGGACCTGGGTGCTTACCCTCATCCCCAAACTTGGGCCACAAACATTTTGCAAGTGAGACCAAGTCTAAAACCCAAAGTTCTTTCCCAAATTTTAACCCCACTCTTCAGTTCTTTCATTTTTGGTATGTTTTTACCTTTTAGCATGATATTGCCTTTAAAACACCATAAACAACATTTCAAATGATAAATAATTTAAAGAAAAGCAAATAGGTGCTTTATGAGAGTACCCAGCTGCTCAGCCATCCAGCAGGGCTGTAGACTGGGGATGGTGGATTGCCCATTAAAGAGGCCCACATTCCACACAGCCACAATCAAAACTCCCAGGAGGATCAAGCATTGTGCCCACGTGTAATATGTCAGATATTTGCCAGCAGGGGAAGCCCTGTAAGAAGCGAATGAGTTTTACTCTGTTCAGTGACATTGCTAATGGCTCATGCAGGATTATGGGTAACAAACCTTTGCAATGAGAGGTTGAGTTGTACACTGCATTATACATCTGAATTTCATGGTATATTAGGGACAGTGATTGGTAGTACAATATGATGGGGAATTGCTAACATCGGAGAGAAGCTAATATGATGCACTGCAATCTCTCAGAGAGTCCCACACTTTTTCTAGTGGCACCCATAATCTGCTCATTATGGTTTGGCAAGGAGCAATCCCCCTCGTGGAGCGAGCGGCCCTGACAGCTGCTCATAAATTTGAGTGGAAGAGACAGAATCCAAAATGCTCATGGATCGTTACCCAGTTGTATCTCCCCTAAGAAGCAGGTGATTTTTTAACATCCTGCCACAGTTTGTTTCTGCTGATATTTTCTCTCTCCAGCTAGATCTGATGCCAGCTTGTGTCTTAGAGCATTTCTTCCCCATCTTGTTCTTTGAGAAGGGCTGATACAGTCTACATGCACGTTAACTAAACACCAGTTAATGGAGCATAACTAAGAAGAATATATTTACAAAAAAAAAATTTCTAGACCATTAAAATTAGAGTCAAATGTATCACATAAGGCATTAAAATTATAAATGCAGCCACAGATTTATGTTTACAGACTCTGGCAAATCCCATGGCCACATGTTCCCCTCAGTCACTCCTGCTCCAAACAGCACAAACAAATGTTTAAACTATTTATGTGATAGTAACCTGGAATATTCTGTGGCTGTTTTACAAGGCCTGTAAATATCCATCTGACCTTCTCCAGTTGTAGAAGGTTTGATTTTCCCTGCAGGAAGAGCCCATGAAGACAGAAGAGTCCCTAGAAGACCCAGCCCCATACACCCATTAAGCAGAAGCACCAAGACCATCACCTTTCCAAGAAACTTGAAATGGGAGTGATTCCTAGGATGAGGAAGTTCATTGAAAACCACAGCCAAGCAGGAACTGGATGGTAATGATGACGAGTAAATGGAAGAAAGTATCTCCCTCCAGCATTAAATTCAAGCCCTGACCTTTTCCAATGTAATGACTAACTCAACCTTTACATAATAATGTGGGTGATATTTGGAGAGTATAACATATGTGTCATTTTAATTAATTGAACAGAAATAGATTCACAGAAGAAAAATGAATTAACCAATCAGCAGTCTCCTTTCTATCTATTTGATGTCAGAATAATTAGTTTATTCTCGTAATCTCTTGACCCCTCTAGAAATCATAACCTTGCTGACCTCCTTGAGTGTGGGAGCTCATTTGAATAGCACCATAATTGTGTTCTGGGTGCATTATCATCTAGTTTCAATTTTATTAAGGTAATCTTACCCCTTATTATTATCTCTCTCTGAAAGGCTGACCCAAACCCTGGGAAACAGTGCAGGACTCAGCTCAGTAAAACCAGTGTACTTTGGACATCAGAATCCTTCCTCCTAGAAGGTGGGCTGGTTTTGTTAGCTGGAGGATCAGCAATAATTTTACCACTTTTTTCTGTGGACAGCAGTGCCCCAACATACTTCCTGATGTTGTCAGTTCCAGACTGTTACCAACTAGCAAATGCTTAAACAAAATCACAGTTTGTTCCAGAATGATAAAATGACCCTACAAAGTGAATTACACTGTGAAAAATAAATGTAAAACACAGTGTAGATGCACAAATGATTATTTCATTATCTGGCCAATGTAAGAACGACAGATACAAATTGTTCCAATCATAGAGTGATGAAAGAGTAATGAACAATGGGTTCTTGAATGAGCACAGGAACAAAATAATGAATTGCAGTTTAAATGAAATCAGGAGTCAATGGACTGGATCACAGACTGTCCTTCAGACATAGGAATTCTGCATTAGTTAAACAGTGTCATTTGGAAAAACGTCCTTTAAGAGAAGGAATCTAAATGGCTCAGAGAGAGACAAACATGATGAGCCTGGACATTGGCTGGTTTTTAGCAAACTGGACAGGAGCATCCCCATTCCTGACACTTTGATAATTGATCTACCACAAATTAGCAGCTTCCACTCTGCAAAATTATCAAACCATTGTTACTTTTCCCTGTTTTAACCTTGCTGTTCCTCTACTACGGAGTTACTTTGATGCAACATCTGATGAGATTTCCACACAGATTCTGGGCACAGAATGAAGACCAAGACACAAAAGCTTCTGGGAAAGGAAGTGTCAGTTATGTAGAAATAGAACATATGGCAAAAGCTCTACTGACTTTTTTGTTGGAAAACTCTGCAATAGATGGATTTATATTTTTTCTTTTGTTTCATACCAATAAAGCAAGGATTTCTAATGTTATTGCCAAAGAAACCTGTCACATTTCATGTATCATAGCTATCCATCACACTGCACAGCTTTTTGTTAGCTCTGTACTGAAGCTGTGTTTCAGTCCAGAGTGCAGGACATCTGACCATTTTATCTCTCTGTACAGAATTTCTTTACACTCTCTAAGACACCTTGGGAATGAGCAGAAACTGGCTGGTGTCACAGGCAGGGCTCAAAGAGCCTCATAAAGCAGCTCCCCCTCCTGCTGCTCTGCCACTGCTGCCAGGGCAGCACTGCCCTCCTGCCCCTCACACAATCCCAGGCACAAAAGAGACACAGCACTTGGAGCCTTGTACACCTCAGCAAAGGACGGGGTGCTCTGGGATGAGCAGCCCCAAGGGAAAGGTCATCTTTCATCCCTTGGTGCTCAATAGCCTTGAGACATTTGAAAACTACAATGCCCCAAATCCAGCAAGCAGGAGCGCTTTCAAAAGCCACAGAGGGGCAGCAACAAAGGGAAAAGCAGGGGAAGCCTGGTTTTGCTTGCTTTGTGGACAGAAATAAATATTTATTGGAGAAAAAAGCTACAGGATCAAGGTGGCATCTCTGCTGTGTAAGTGACTGAAAGGCCACCTGCTTCTGCCCTAATTCAATGACATCTCCTGCACAGGTCTCTGCCCTGCAAGGGCAGGGTAAATGTCACGTGCCTGCCTCGTACACGAGAGCCAACATCCATCAAACTCTGTGTGGGCAGCCTGTCCAGGCAGAGTCAGACCACAACTGGATGTTATCACTTACAGCCCCTTGGCTCCCCCTCTAATCAGACTTATATTCCAACAGATCCTGATGCTGAGCACACCAGACCCTCAGCAAACATCCCCACAGCTCCACCAGGGTGCCCAGGAGTGCTGAGATAGGCCAAGAGAGCCAGCTCATCTCAGCACAGGCACCTTCAGAGCCATAAGGCACATTTAACATATAGAGAGCAGGGTAAACACCTTCCTTCCTTGGGATTTTTCCTGGATATTCAAAACTGTGCCTTGTTGACTCAGAGAGACAGAACTCTTCTCATCTGACAGCTGAATTTTACAAAATACGATGAGGTTTGCAGACTCCTGATATTTTGGCTGCCTCTGCAAGCCTGATACACAGAAAAAACTGTGCTGCAGTTTCATACAGTGGGAAGGAGCACTGAGGATGGGCTCTCCTCTTCCACTGTGTTGTGTCTGAAGAGTGCTTTAAGGCACAGGTATCTCCCCCTGCCCCCATGCCAGGGACTTTTCCTCTTACAGCTCTGTCCCTGACAAAAGCTCCAAAACAAGACCCCATTCCACTGGAGTTTGATAAACAACTCCCATTTGGCAGAAAACCACACCACCAGGCCTAAAATTGAGCCAATCTAATGCTAAGGTATGTTAAGGTATCACAGGATTGCTTTTAGATGATTTTGGGTCTCAGATCATCTATAGCATAACATGACATGATCTTTCATGGCCTCCTCCAACCAACCTGATGTCAGAAGTTCATTCAGCCAAGTTGGCACTCCAGACACCTGGTTCTAAAGAGACACCCATCCATCAGCTTGGATCCGAAACAAAACTGAAAATATTCCTGGAGCAAGCAGGAGAGTGCCCTACTCCTCTCTAAAAGCCCAATTGCTGCCTGCAAAAATCCACAGCACCCTGCCCAGGTGTTCAGAGAGGTGTCCCCTGCCCATGGCAGGGAGGTTGGGAGCAGGTGATCTTTAAAGCCCTCTCCAGCCCAAACTCATTCTATGATTCTAGAATTCTATGACCTCTGCCTGGGATTAAGCATCATTCCTGCTGGGGCACTTGGGAATGCTTCAAGTGACACCTGCATACCCCAGCCCAGAGCCAGGAGCAGAAGAAACCTGATAAAACTGTGTGTCCCACAGCCAGACACTCCCTCTGTTCCACCAGCCCCCCGTGACTGACCAAATTCTCCTCTGTGTGGTGCTTGCCAGCTTGAGAAGCATCTCAACAGGCAGGAGCTGCTTGCCAAAGGTCTGGCTGCACCTCCTCATTTCAGATTTTGGAAATGACCACAAATGCCTCCTTGCCTTGCTAACAGTGAGTGCTGTAGCAGGGAGCTGCCAGGAGCAGCAAGGTGCCAGTGCAGGTTACAAAACTGTACAGAAGAGAGAGGGTGGGCACCAGGAGCCAACCTCCTCCCTAGAACAATCCAGTCAGGAGAACAGCTGGAAAAGAGCTCACTATGCACTATCCAGAAGAAAATCCCCTGGTGCACAGGGTGGAGAGCACAGCATGGCTGCTGCCAGGCAGAGCAGGGAGCAGGGGAGGCTGGCCAGGGGGAGGTTTGCAGGCTGAGCCACACAGCTGTGCCTGGGCACTGCAGGGCTCTCGGGGTGCAGGTTTGCTGGGCTGTCTTTGCTCAGCGTGCATCACTGCACCAGTAATGGATGCTCCTATTAAAACCCAGCCAGAACATTTGTCTCTGTGGCTGGCAGAGGATCCACACCTCAGTGACACGCTGCACTTCTCTGTGTTTGCTCTGAACGCTCCCCATGCTCAGTTCAGTGTTTTCAGACTCCAAGGCAGATGCATTGGATTGATTTCTAATGTAAAGTCTCATAATCACCTGCACTTTGGAATGGTCTCTACATAAACACAAGGCACAGACTTTGTTGTGTTACACCAGAGCTCCTGTGTATTTTTTGTGGTTGCAGAGCACAGTGCAAAACTCATGCAGGCTCGATATTTGAGCTTCAATTACCCAATTGTGCAGCAAAGGACAAGCACATGGTCAGTAAGTGAGCACAGCTTCACTAAAGCCATCCCTGTTTACATGGCAAGGACTTGGTTTTCAGTGTTTTACTGTCTCATTCAAACTTGGCCTGTTACCAAAAAAAAAAAAAAAAATTGCATGAGATTCCAAAATTTCACTAGAAAAAAGAAAATCAAACATGCACTGCTCCATGAGGGGTCCAGTATGGCCCTCATCCTCTAAAGGGCTGTTAATGCAGAACTTAGAGAGGATCACAGTGGTCTTTCAGTGCCTGGCATTTCCTGACTCCTACACCTTTGTTTTTTCCCTTCTCATCATTACATTAACACTTTTGTGTTATGGAATATTTATGAGGCACACCACATGCTTAATGGGTTTCCTCATTTATTTGCAGCTAGCCTGCATTAATACAAGACTCACGATATTCAATCTGAAATCCATCAAGGATTCCCAGGCTTAATATTGCCACCACTTTTAATGAGAAAGGAAATCTGTAAATCCAACTTGCAAAAGCAAAAATAAAGCCATGTGGGAGCAGCATAAGCAGTGCATCTGCATCCTCCACTTTAAAAGCTTCCAGTAGCAAACCTCTGTTAATTGAACTGGTTCTAAAGCCATGAATTACAAAGTAATACCCTACACTAAATCTTACCCATAGCTGCCCAAAATGGCACTCCCAAAAATGTGCATTCCTGTCCCTACTGCCCATCCTGCAACACGGGGGTACATGAGCAAGGTGAGAGGCCAGGTGGGTTAGAGCTGGCCTTGGGACCCAGCTGTACCCAAACCATGGGTATGTTTATGCACTCTTGAGGGAGGAGGAGACCAGCTGGAGATCAGGTACCCATTATGGCATTCGTGTTTAAATGTCTCTTGCTGGACAGCAGCTGCCTGGCCTTGTGCTGTTGCACCATTATATACAGGGGAATATTCACTATTCTTCAACCTACTCGCATCTCTGGGCGCCAAACTCTGAGCACGTGTGTGGCAAAAGGAGCTGTGGTAACACAGACCTTCCTCAGCAAGGGAATGCTCTGCCTGATGTGATGGATCAGCTCTTGCTGCCAGCTGGTGTGATCTGAGAGTTCTCTGATGTTTGTCTTTATAGAAGTCATTCTTCCCTATCAACATTGCCCCATTATTGTCTCCTGCACAAAAATTAACCCTGAGTATTAACAGAGGAGACAAACCTTACTATTAATGAGACCACTGCAACCCCAAATAAATCAATCCAACTGCATGAACCAGCAGCCCAACATTTGGTGCCATTTAGCCAGGAGACATGAACTGAAAATAAATATTACAGTACAAAACTAAACTGATACTTCAATTAAAAAAAAAAAAAAGGTCAGTAGGTTGTTCTTTCCTGGAAGTTTTCAAGGCCAGACTTTCTTGGACACACATCAATGCAGAACTAGTATGGTCAAAACACCTCAAAATCTTCAGTTGGAGAATCTGAGCCTGTGTATTTACCCTCTGTTCATGGCAAGTGCCCCCAAGCTTGTGCCTGGAAAAGGGCCACAGCAGCAGCCCCTGTGTGCACCCACGTCCCCAGCTGCTTACAGAAAAGTCTCAGCACTGGTAACAGCAAATTTGAGCTCCTCATATTCCTTCTCTTGTCAGGCTCTGTTTCAGAGAGGGACCTCAGGATATGCCTAACTTCCAGCTACAGCTCCCTGCCTTTGAAGATAATGGGGCAATCACACATCTAAACTTAGACATCTCTTCCTCTCTTGGGAAAAACAGTCCTTAATACCTCTGAGTTTAAAGATGATCTGGCAATATTTCTGTTCACCATCACACAAAAGGCAGAAGTTGCAGATTTAAGAGTGGAAAGCAATTTTCCCTTCTGTGCTTAGAAGCAGAGAATAGTGCCATAGGCTTTCCAACAGCCAATCCATTTGGTACTTCACTGACAAGGTTAAAACAGCCAAAAATTTATTGTGTCACCCTTGGAATAGAGGTTTTTTTCTTTTCACTCATATGTAACTAATTTCTACTGTTGGTTAAGGAGAAAGCATTTGATAATCTGATTTTGCAACCAGTGACAGAGTCACCAGGAGGGAAACAGAGGAAATTCAAACATGGGCTAAATTGTTACTTGCCAAGCATTTGATTTCCAAGGAAATGAACACATTCAGCAAATAAAGGGGAACCTGACAGTGCAGGAGAAGAGCCTGAGGACAGCACACTACTTCTGGGGTGTGCTCATGAGAGAAATGGAGACAAAGGAGATGGCACAGGCTGGAGACAATCTACCCTGAGACAGCTCCAGTCTCCTCTCTAAATCCTGGGTGTACAACTGGTCAGAAGTGAGATGCCATCCACTCAAAAGCACATCCCAAACAACTCTAGCTCGGTGCTTACCTGGGTGCCTTCAGGTTGTTTGGGCAGAGCCACCACTGCCTGTTCAGTGAGGAGGAGCAGGACACAGCATCTGACTGAATCCAGGCAGGAGGCTGAGCTGAACTGCAGAGGAAACCTGAGTCTGGATCAGCACATGCAAAGAAGTGAAAATAAATAAATAGATTAGTCTGGTCTACAGTGTTTCTGCTCAAAAAGAGGAAAAGCTGCTGCAAACTTAGACTGCTGGTGAGGGGGAAAGCCCTGAGGGAAGCAGAGGGGCTCAGGATCACCACCTGGAATGGGCCCTGGTGCTCTGTAAAGAAAACATGCCAGGTTTTGAGAAAAGCAGCTCCAGAGGGAGGCATTTTGGCAGGACAGGACGGGCTGTCCAGCAGCACTGCGAGGAGTCCCCTGCCAGCAGCACGCTGCCCTCACCCCGTGCTTGGCTCTGACCACGCTGCAGCATCTGCACAGCACAGATAATGCTCCACAGAACCCTGCCAGCACTTTGAGCCCGGGCTTATGGCCCTACAAACCACCTCACACCCAGGGACCTCCACGGAGCCAGCCCCAGGGTGGCAGCAGGGACCTCCCAGTGCACCTGGACGTGCTGCAGCCCATCCCAGTGCCCTGCCAGGGCTGTCCCACTGCAGCTCCCAGGCAGGCTGGAAGCAGCACAAGTTTGTGCTGGAAACATTCAGCTTCTGGAGAAAACAGCATTCCAAATCTCTCCCAGCTTCCTTATCCCCCCCGGGGAAGCCTGGCCCACACGCCTGGGCACATCTTGCACATTCAGCCAAGATTTTGTCTTGCACTTCTTTATTTTTTCCCCCTTTCCTCTCCAAAGGTGGCATTGGAAATGGGTGGGCTCAAAGGGGAAAACATGGCCACTTGAAAAAAGTGAAAAAGACTTTGAAAAAAAGACAGCAGCCTGGGTAGAATCTGAAAACCCTATCCCCTTTGGGGCTGCTGGTAGTAATTAGGTCACACTGGGGCAAAGCCCTGCCAGGATGTCACCCCATGTGTAACAAGGTGCAGGGGTGGTGAGAAGGGGAGGAAGGGGTGACAGAGGCCACTGGGTGGGTACTGACCCCACAAAGAGTGTTTCAGATCCACCAGCAAGCACAGAGCAGAGGGTTCCCTCCTGCTAAAAGTGTATCCTGTGTACCAGCACCTGCAGGTGGTAGGACATCCAAGGGAGTGAGCTCAGCCCTGTGCAGGGAATAAGAGAGGAAAACCAAGCCCCAGAAAGGCTCTAGGCTAGCACAGGTCAAAATGAGGTAGGGCTGGTGCTACCACCTCCCCAGGGGACTTCCAACACAAAGATGCTCTGGGAAGGGGAGAAAGCACATCAGGTGAGGAAAGCTGAGGAAATCCTGTGTAAGGGGAGACCCTGGCCCACCCCACACCTATTTGGGTTCATTGCTGTGGCTCACCATGGGACAGCATTGCTGTATCCCAGAGCTCATCCACCCACACTGCTGCCAGCTGCAGTGCAGCATCTCCAGGGCCCTCACTTTGGGGGAGGCTGGGAGCTGCCTCCCTGACTCCAAGATTGATGTTGCACGACTTAAGCACAAATTAAGTGTGGAGCAGAAAAACCATATGCAGAATGAGCACTTGCAGCCCTGGCTCTGGGCTGGCCTTGGTTGAAATTCAGCAGATCGACAGCATCAGATTTTGTTGGTGTCTGAGACAGAAGCCCCCTGGCATTTTTAGATGACTTTGTGATAGTTATCTTCCCTTTCTACTATTTGCTTTACGCTTGGAGAAAAAAAAGTTATCTCAGGAGTCCTTTGAACATTAAAATTTATGCCATGCATGCTACTTTCTTCAAATATTGTAAAATATTCGAAATGTAAGAACCTTGGCACAGTGCCCAGGATCCTGTCTTTTCGGATAAAAGTTTCAGATAACTGACACTTCCAATTACTGTTTCTCCCTGAAGAGGTCATCTCTGCTTTGGCTCCAGAGCAGAGCAGTGGAGGTACCAAAGGTCCTGAATTTCACAAAAGGTTAAAAAATCTGCACGGGTGCTAATTAAAGCCAACGCACTCCGTGTCTGACCTAGTTCTGCCTTGCTTTCAGGAGGCTTTACCTGAGCATCTTTCAAACCACTTAAAAATTAAAATGGTTAATAATGCATCAGAGCCAAACGTTGCCCAGGGGCTGGCTGCGTGGGGAAGCTCAGTTTGGCCTGTGGATGGCATCGTTTGTGCAAACTGGGGGTAGGGAGCTCTACCAGCCTGATTCCCTGCTTTTACCCCCTCCCTGCACACCTTTACGCCACTTATTGATGCCCCAACCCTTTTCTGGGTGATTTCTGTAAGTGTTCAGTATCACGCTGGCCAAATCAGGAGGTGGAAGTGGGCTGAGCTGTTCCTCTGCTCCCAGTGCATCCCTCTGCACAGTCAGGGTCTCCTGCACACTCAGCTTCCCGTGTGCATTCCTACATTATCTGTATCGCTCTCTCCTCCCAAGGTTTAATTTCCTAGGATAAACAGCAGGGCACTGCCGAGCTGAGGAACGCCAGCTTAGAAATTTTCCTTTCTGCTTCTGCCCCTTGCATTGACATTTATTCGGGAAAGTTTCATTTCACCATGTTTTTTACTCGGCTGCCACTTAGTGGTGGGAGCAGAGGAACAGCTCTCCTGCACACTCAGCTTCCCGTGTGCATTCCTACATTATCTGTATCGCTCTCTCCTCCCAAGGTTTAATTTCCTAGGATAAACAGCAGGGCACTGCCGAGCTGAGGAACGCCAGCTTAGAAATTTTCCTTTCTGCTTCTGCCCCTTGCATTGACATTTATTCGGGAAAGTTTCATTTCACCATGTTTTTTACTCGGCTGCCACTTAGTGGCAACGCCAAGTCATAGCTCGGGCAAGCCCACAGCCTGCAAATCCATCCGGAATTCCAGCGACTCTGCCCAGGGCTGTGGGAATCACTTGCTCAGCCATTCACTTTCCACCCAACACCCTTTCCACAGGTGATGAGTAATGTTCCAAAATCCCATCCCACTGGAAAACGCATTAAAAATATCACAGCCATGACGAAGTCATTAAAAAAAAGGTAGCATCCACCTCACAGTGCTTTTCATTGAAGGTTGGTGGTGTCCAGCAGGACCTGCAGGGGACTTCCAGGGGCCAGGATGGAGGTGCTCAAAAGGCCTGGTGAGCAGCCCCTGGTGAGGCAGTACTGCAGCTCTGCCTTCTGTGGGGAAATAAATGGGAGTTTCCTGCTGGAAAACTGAACTTGTGCAAACCAAAGTGAGCTCTTTCACCAACCCCAGCGCTGTGCTCGTGGGGATTCCCAGCAAGAGGTGAGGACATGCCCAAGCTCCTTCGTGCCTACCGCGTTGTGGCTGCTCCTCTGAAGCAAAGCAGCTGCATTTTGAAGTTTCTGCTGAAATGTCAACATTTCCTATGGAAACAGCGAGAATAAATCACGGCATTGTGACTTTACAGGGGGCAATAACAGCAACAGGCAATTATCACCCCAGGGCAGAATCTTAAAAAGCCAAGTGAGACTTTCAAAAGAGGAAACTGGCATGTTTTCTGTAGAGGCTCTGTGCTCAAAGCCTGGCATCCCTAAGACACACCAACTTGCATTTCCATAAGTTTCATTTCTCTCTCCATAATTGCACTGGAGATATCAAAAAGAACAGGGTTTTTTTGTATTCTCCGTGGAGGTGAAAGAGAAGGAGCTGAAATTACAGCGTATTGGAGTCTTCACATTGCAAATGCTTGAAGTTTCTCTTTTTTTCTCTTCTTTTATAACCTGCATTGATTACTGTCAAGACAAATTTCTTGCTGTGAAATAGAGGTAAGTCCTTGTAAGCAGACCCTGAACTCAAAGTGACAGTCACGTTTTCTAATTAAAAAAAAAAGAAAAAAAAGCCAAGTTAAAATAAAAAAGGTAATATTCAAACCTCACCTAAGCCCTCAATTTCACCTGTCACTCTAATCAAAATTGCTGCAGAGGTATATATTGCAAAGTCACCTGAAGGACTTTCCTGCACCTGGAAGCCTCTCTAGTGCAGTAACCCAGCACACACACAGCCCTGGCAGCAGGACAGGGTGGCACTGGCTCCTGCCTTTCCCTCTCACATCAACCAAAGGACACCTCAGCTCCATTTCCTTGCAGTACCCGAACTCCTTTGGATCCCTTGTCACACCAGGACCAGGTTGCAGCTCTGCTTTGCCCTGCATAGCTTAAAATGTCATCCTGGGGAGAGGAGAAGCCCCCCTGCCCAAGCACAGAGGTGTTCTGGACCTTCAGGTCTTGCTCTCTGCCTGATGAGGGGCCCCTCGTGCCCACAGGACCACAGCAGCACCCCATAGCAAAGTCAGAAATAGGTTGCAAGAAGATCATTGTTGTGCCATGGATTTCTTTGTTATTCATTTTAATGGTACTTCAGATTAGTTCAGATGTTGACAGCAGTTGGCATCCCATCTGAGCAGCTCTAGCTGCCCTGGCATTACCAGGAATTGTTTTCTTTTCTTACCTCTGTACTTTAAGCCGTGGTGTGGGAATCCAGCTTTTCAGAGCCTGAGCTTGTCTAGGCATTTAGATCCCTTTTCATCCACTTTATCAATTGTCTCCTTGAGGAAACGTTTTGCCAAAGTTGTGGATGACTAAAGGCTCGGGAGTAGGTGCCAAGAAAAGCCAGGAGTGCACTGCCATGGGATCATCCAGGGCAAATACAACGGGACCCTGAGCAGGCTGCTGCCACTTCTGAGGGGAAATGGCAATGAGGGTGCAGGGAGATCCTCACTGACAACCACGGGAGCAGCTCCCTCTGTCCCTCCCCAGCAGGCAGCATTTTGCCCAGTGCACCTTGAGTAGCCCCATTTCTGGTGGTCCCCCCCCAGCCTGCCTGCAGCCCAGGGAGCTGCAGCAAAAGTTGGCTCTGGAGCCAACTCTGCCTTGTGATGTAGCACTGATCAACATCTAGCAGGGCAATCTGCTGATAATGCACAAAAAAACCTACCTCTTCACAGCTTCCATGACTTTGCTGGACTAATTTCCAACTTATTTTACCCTCTTTGAACCACGAGAAAGAATCAGATGGGGTGTCTTGCCTGGTGCAGCTGGACACAGCTTCACAGCCAGCTCTTCCTAAGAGGAAGCAGGGAAAATAACAGTCTTTCTAACAATTACATAGAGCTTACTTGGCCTAGGATGAGCCCTCTAGAGAGGCAGTTGAGGAACAGGTAATATTTAGTTTGCTCCTTAGCAAGGAAGAGAGTAATAACATGGAATCAAGAAATACAAATAGAGTAAAACCAAATCACCAGAACATTGTCTGATGGGGCTCACTACATTTAAGACAGAAGTGGCTATTGGGAAGGGGGTGCTCTTGATCTAAAGATATTTTGCCTTTTTTGGGGAAGATATTTCAAAACACCCCCTGGCCCTGGGGATTTTTCCTTTCCTGGGCACTGAGGGGCAGAATCACTGGGACACCCTGGGAATGCCCTTGCAATGCCTGTTTCATGCTCCCAATGCACGTTCAAAGTTCAAGGCACTTTGTAGGTGGGAGAGATTCCCCTGGCCAGCACCCCAGAGCAGCAGGCTCGGCAGGACAGCACTTTTCCCTTTGAGATAATATATTAGGGAAAATGGGATAACTGCATTTTTGTCAAAAGAGCGGAGTTAAAATTCTGCCATGCGAGCCTTGCCTTGCCCAGGGCAAGGAATTTTTTTGACAGGTGTATAAAATATCATTAGCTTCTCCACTGTCATCAATCATCAAAGTGAAGGCTGGGCGAGTAACCTCTGCAGACAGTCCTGGGGACTGCATTAGCCCCTGGTTTCTAAAGAAGCAGAGGGGCCAAGACAGGAGGCTCCCTTTATATCTAAATGCATGGCAGGCAGGCAGCTAAAACCTCTCCCCAACTTTGACGTCTTCCCCTAAGTGTTAGAAGCTGACAACAGCATAGAAATGGAGATTTCACGTTGTCACTCCAGCCTTGCCCAGCTATTTGTGGCCAGGTAGCCCAAGCTGGGCTAGATATTGTATCGAGGCATTGCTGAGAGCACAGCATAAGTTAAGGAGAGAGAATGACAAATCTGAGGCTTTTGTCTAAAGGTCACACACTTGAAGCTTCTTTCGCATTTGTGTGAGTTAATTTACTTCTTAAAAAAAAAAAAGAAAAAATCTTCACAACAAAGAAAAATGAACAGAAATCTGTCCCTGAGACTGCCATGGCCGTGAACTTCCAAAGCTATTGTGATTTCAATAGAAGAATAGGAGACACTGCCATCGAAAATGCCATTGATATTGTAACAGATCATTGCCTAAATGGACCATAACAGCCCCCATTTCAATGGTTACTGAGAAACGCATTAACCCCTTCCCGTCTGAGCGCCTGCACAATCTCTGCGTGACACATCAAAGGAGACACACCAGATAGTTTGAATTTCACACCCTTTTTCTGCCCCTGTCAGCTCCTCTGAGCTTCCCTGTCCCTTTCCTTTTCCACACCGTATCAGAGCGAGCCGCGAGGGCAAATCCTTTTAAGCACAGGCAGAAAACCTGGGGTTAGTGCATTGTCTCATCCCCCCAGCCCCACTCCTCAAACCACCCAGGAGAAGGCAAAGCCTTCCCCAAAGGGGCTCAGGGGCAGTTAAGTGCCAACAATTTACCAAAAAAAAAATTATATATTTATATCTCTATATACATAGAGATATTTACATCTGTGTATCTATATATAGATAGATAGGTAATTTTTAATTTTATTTCCCAGTGGAATTAATTCCCAGTGGACTAAGCCCCAAAACCTTCCAAATCTGAGGGGGCTTTCATGGAAAAATTAAAACCAAAATCAAACACTAACCAAACAACACCCCATCACCACCAAAAAACTCCAAACCACCAACAAAAAAAAACCAAACCAATAGTACTTTTTTTAAACTTCAATTCTTCTCTTCCAGACCCAGGGAAGCCATTGCAGTAGATGCTCATTAAGCTCCTGTTAGAGATTATTCCTCTACCTTGTTCTCAAGCTCTTTGCCATGTCCTGCCACTGGAACATACTGAAATATTAAGCTAAACATCTTCCAAAACACATCATGCCTCACTGGCAGCTTGACTTAGAGATCCTGGGGAGAGAAAGAATAAAAGTGGGTTTCTTTTGAATAAAAGACTATTTCCAAAACGTTCCACATTAATTAAATTCACTCATTTAATTATTTTCTAATTTAATCTGGGGCCACATTTGCCATTGCTTAGCACAGGTGTTATGCCAGGCTAACCAGTGCTGGCTTGCAGAGCATCCTCCTGCCTTTCCTGTGCCACCCTGCTCTGGTTTTGGGACATTCTCTCATTACTTCTCAGGCACGTACATACAGGTGTTACATACATATGTATGGATAAATACAAATATAAAATGCAAAACTCCCTATATTTCTTCTTATTCTGTCACTCATCTTGAGTTTCTCCAGGCTGATTTTTTTCTACCAAGCACTACCCTGTTATACTCCAGTTGTTTATTGTTTCATTGACTTTAAAAGTTCTTTAGTACAGTCCTGCATTCTCTTCTACAGAGGAACACAGTTCAGAGACACGAGTGCTCCAGATTTCCATGGGGCATGGATATCTGGCCCCAAGCCAAGATCTGCTTCCCTGCTGGAAGCCCACAGCCCTGGCTCCAAGCTCTGCTCAGCAATTTGCCACCCAAAAGCACCATGGGGCCACTGCTCAAACACAGGGACCTTTCCTGGAGCTTCCAGCTGCCACCAGACAGCTCTGAACTGATAACTGCAAAAAGCAACTACATTTTTTTATAAGTTCTTTGGGCAGTGGAGGTCCTGGGGAGGACACTGACCGAGGATTCATTATCCTAATGAAAGGACCGAGGGTTCTTTAACCCTGCACATCTCCCTCAGGGTCTCCTGGGGAGCTCCTCAGCTCCTTCTGGCAGCCCAGGGTGTGGAGCCTCTGGCAAGACCCCGAGCACATTCCCCAAAGGGTCTGCAGTGGGATCACAGCTCTTTGCAGCCACAGGCAGCTGCAATGGTGACTTCTCGGGAGGTGAGGATGCTCTCAGTGCCTGGTAAGGCAAATGCAGGGGCAGGGAAGGGAAGGGAGCTCTTGGTGCCTGGCATGGCTGAGTGCAGCCCCCATGCTGCAGCCACTTCATAAGCTCTGAGCAAGGTCAACAAGACACCAACTAGGACATTATTTTCTTCTTGCTTCTGGGGAGAGGTGGCTGTATGTTCATTTCAAAGCCATTATTCATGAGCTTTAATTACTCTTACTTTTTCATAAGATTCAAAGGCAAAAAGCCATCTTGCAAACAAAAAGGCAACAGATTCAGAGAGTTGCCACAAAATGACTTCTATAACCCCCCATCCTGTTTCATGGAGGCCTTGGGAGAACCCAGCACAATGAGAAGTAAAGCTGCACTTTGCAGGGCTTCAGTGGCAATTTCCTCCCCATATGTTTCTCAAGACACTCTGTTAATTTAGTTTGTCTATAATGAATTCTGTCATTATTCCAAACATCCATTCTCATGACCTAGTCTTATAGCATATCACCACCAAGTATCTTTTTTTGGCTATACAATCTCCCTGGGGAACTGAAAATTGTCTCCGTCTGCAGCACAACTATGCTGGGGAGCAGCCTGGAAAACAGATCCGAGATTATTCCTTTCTGTGTCAGTCATTTAAGCCTCTTTGTGTTAAAGTTGACATTTGTCTCGATGCTGTCTCAATAGGCCCTGCTGGCTGGGTTTCATTCAGTGCTCTGAGCCGGGGGGAGAACTTGCCTCTTGTTTTACTTTCAGGCCATTATTGTGCCAAAGCGTGAAGGGAGGGAGCTGAATAACCACAAACAGGTGAGGCAGGGAGAGGCTTTCTGTCTCTGCTCTCAGCTTGCAAGAGCTGAGCTCTTTGGATGCCTTTCAAAGCCAGGAGAAGCCAAAAGCAATAATCCCCACCATGGGAGCAGGCAGGAAGGAAGGGTATCTGGTGTTGGCCAGAGATGTCCCAGCGCAGGGGAAGCGCATTCCCACGCGGTGACATCGCCGTGAGCCAGAGCAGCCTCTTTGGGGCCAGAAACGCGGAGTTTGAACAACCTCCAAGCTCCACACCCGCCCTGCTGCAGCAGAGAGGGGCAGCAAGGAAGGCTTTTAAAGTCTGTGCATGTGAAACAGCTGCTAAGGGTAAGGGGTCTCTTCCTTAGCCACTGCTGCCTCTGCCTGCCCCTGTCAGCACTCTGTAGGTGCCAGATGTAGGGATTTTGGCAAACCACAGCCATTTTATCTCCCTTCTACCCCCTACCCCTTGCTTTCATTAAGTCAGCCTTGCAAAAAGAGCTGTTCTTTCTGCCTGACCTTCACACGGCTGCAGGGCTGGCAGGAGGTGGGTGCCAATGGGAAGCCCAGGGAGGATCCTCCATGCAGGGATCAGATGTGGAGCTTTTGCCACTCCTGATCCTCCTTTCACCATGCAGTGCTTCCATATTCATGTTTTCAGCACCAAGCCAGGGAGTGGCATTTTCCTGAAGTATTCCAAAAGTGCCCTCTCCAAACCATAACCACAGACTCTCAGAAATCCCAAGGAACAGGCAAAGCATACACATGTTCTTGGGGGCAAACAGAATCAACTGCTATTCTCTATTTTCCCTGCTATTCCATCACCTTGGACTCCCAGTGACAGCTCCAGGAGGAAGGTTTGGCTCATTCAGTCCCCCTGCCCATGAAGGCTCCCCAAGACATGGCAAAGCATGCAGAAAAGCATTCCCCCTTTGGAGAAGAGCAGCCAGGCACCTGCAGGAGCACTCCAGCAATATCTGCATCCCTGCCCCAGACTCCCCCTGGCTCCATCCCAGCCCACGTGCACTCACTTCAGGCTCCACATCCTGGGGAAATGTAAGATGTTACGCCAGCAAGGCCCTGTAAAGAGAGAAAAGGGAACAAGGGTGCCTTGTTTGGTAGCACCAGGCTTTAGCTCCTGCAATTGTGTGAGTTAATCAGAGGCATTACATGCGTGTCCTTGTGCGACTTCAGATGTCTCACCCCAAAAGCTCCAGTAACAAGGGATTAGGGGAGAGGCTGGGGAAGTCAAAAACTCTTCACTGGAAATTTGTTTCAAGATGTTTACAGCCTGCCTCTGAAAAGAGGTTGCATTGTCTGTGCTGTACCTCATGAGCCCAAGACTGTGGGTGCTCAGGACATGCTGCTGCCCTGCTCTCACCAAACAGCTCTGCAAAGATGAAAGCAGCTGGCAGAAATGTGGCACTCCAGCTGAACCCATGCCAGATTGAGGACAAAGCATCTGTACACGTCATGCTCCCTCGTGGAAAAAGTCCTGCTTTCATTCAGACACTTGCTCAGGCATGTAGGATCCCTCTGCAGCAGCAGCACCACTCAGAACACCCTGTGTGATGGAAGCAAGCCCATTCCTCTTGAAATATCCAGGGCCATGCTCCTAAGGCATTAGAGGGTCTGTCACTGTCTAGGCTCAAAGGCATACACTGGCCCATGCCCCCCAAAATCCAAGTATTGCACGAAGCAGAATAATTATTCAGGATTTCAGTGAAAAGTTAAAGAACTTTCTCAAAAAAGGAGAGAAAACATCCACAGAAGCCACTCACATCATGGTGATCCAACTTCCCTGTAGGAACTGTATGGGCAGATAACCCAAGCAGCCCAGCACTGTTGCTGTTGAGTTAGAAACAACACAGCCTCACCAGAAGGCTGGTTTACACAGCATTCCTGCTTTGCTTTGGATTCTCTCTTTTTATACTGCTCCAATACAGACAGACCAGATTGGTCAATTAGTCAATACATTTCACCTGACTGGCTAATTAACTAAACGCCTTTCTTATAAACAATCTTTGAGAAAAACAGAGAGTAAGAAAAATAACACCTGCAGGTTGTTTATGATAACAAGCTATCATTGTTTATCCCTAAAGTCTCTCAAGCTGATTCTGGGAACACTTATCTCCTTTTCTTGCTCTCTGACCAGGCTGTCACATCCACACAGCACCTGTGCTGGCCCAGAGTCTTCACCCAGCACTGCTCACAGTTGCAGATCCCAAGCCCTTGAGCATCCTCACTCGGCTCTTTCTCAGCACCTCTTGCCTTGTCTGTTCACAGGTCTCTGGGACAGAGCACTCCTGGCACCCTGAGCCCTGGCACTGTCTGCTCTGTGCATCCATCCCCTCAGAGGGCACAGCAGAATGCCAGCACCTCCAGCCAGGACCACCTTGTCACAAAAGCCTGTGCTACAAACAGCAATTCCTCTTCTCAGTACCCAGTTTGGAGCAGTGCAGGAAAGGAAAGGTTTTCCAGCCAACATTGGCTGGCAGAGCAGGTTTGTAATCAGGCAGGACAGATGGGAACACACGATGCCTTGAACCCAATCAAGAAAACATCCCAGGAATGCCTGTTAATGTCAACCTTTGGAGGGGTAGAGTGGTCATTCAAATCAGAGCAGGATGATTGATTCCAACCTAAGAGAAAAGCACAAATCAAAATTATTCCTATCCAGGGGAAAAAATCAGTTTGATCTGAGGTAAGGCTTAACATCAAATGAACTCAAATTTTTTTGGCTTCCAAGATAAAATAATATAAAGGAGATCTGAATGCATAGGCACTAGGAAATATCATTTAGGTATTTTGCAAAACTAACAGAAGGTTACACTCAAAATGCTGTGGGCTTTGCTTTCCTCCTAGGAAGTATCCTTTGCTTCCCAGCTTTCCCAGTCAACCTCATTTATCCCTCAGTGTGTCACTGTGGCAGTAAATAAGCATCATCTCTTTGGAAGAGCTTGGGCAGCAGCTCCAGTTTGGGCTCAGACCCTCCTCTTCTTAAAATTTCCCTCCAATACAGAATTATAATCTCATGTGTCACTATGAATTTTGGTTTATAAAACAGGCATGCAACACATCTAGAAGAAAAATTGCACCTGTCAAATGCCCTGCCCCATGAAATAAACCTGTGCAATTTCACTTTTCACCTAGTAAATACCCAAGCACTCTCCAGAGCAGTCTATTCCAGTATTCAAATCTGTTTCCATTAATATTAGAAGCTAGGAGGGTTTGGGAGAAAAGGAAGGAATTGATTAAAAGCAGATGGTATTCATTATCTTGCTAATCACAATCCTACAAGGATTTTTACAAAGAAAAAAAAGAGAAAGAAAAAGCAACATCAAGAAAAGGTCATGCTAGTACTTTTCAAATAAAACTTTAGAAAAATAACACTTCCAAGGATTTACTCCCCTCTCATGAGAAAATCAGCTTGTTTCATATCACAGCTCAGCCTCGCTGGGAAAATGTCTTTGTGATACAGTCATCATTCTCACATTTTGTGCTGGGACTGCAAACTTTTGCTGAATGTCTGAGAAAAAAAACCTGTTGAAAGGACCATTACCACGTGCACCATCCCACAGCCTCCGGTGGCACTGCTGCACTTCCCAGCCTGCTCGTTCTTTTCCCCAAAGGGAAGTCACAAATAAGCAAAGAAAGCAAACAAAACAAAACAGAACTAAAACGAATAGGCAGTTTATTAGCCAGAACCAGCGCAGTGGGAAAACCCAGGGATGGATTCTGTTTGAGCTGACTGGCTGGAGTTCACTCAGAACGCTTTTCTTAGGAGAATTTTTGCTCTTGGTATCTGATCTTGCTCCAAAAAAGTCAGTGAAGATGTAGTTATTAACAATCCACAGCACTGCAACAGTGTGAGATGCCTACATCAAAAGCCTTGGCTCTTTTTCACTTTATAAAGTCACAAAATTCGAATGGGTCACACTCAGCCCTGCTTTGGGACAGCAGAGCAGGATGCCAGTCAGCAGGAGGAGATGCGATTTCCAATATCCAAAATCCCAGTGGTATTTCCAACTGCAGGAACATGACTGTTAGCATGTTCACCACCACACTCTCCTCTGGCTTTTCAAAATCCACCAATCTGTCACAAAAGCTACTCAGAAAGTGTCTCAAACCTGGGTTTCCAGGGCAGGGGACACCACAAGTATAGTGGCATCTTGGGGCAGGTTCAGCAAAGACAGGAAAAATCCAGTCATGATATGCTCAGCCTCCTGGAATGAGAGGCACTAGGAAACCACCAGCAGTTGTCACTGACAATAGACTTTATTCTTTTCCTATAATACTCTTTTTAAAATAGGAAGTGGTTTTACAGCACACAGCCAAAATATTCCACAAGTACACATGGTGCTGCATAAGCCAAAAGAGCTATGCACTGGTGAGATTTTGTGGTCTTCAGGCTGAGATTCCTAAGCAGCTATTTATATGATAATTTATTTTTTAAACCACAATGACTCAAGGCCGCCCTGAATGGCAGCAGATTCATTGTTAGCAGTCTTTCTGTGCCATCTCACAAGGTACTAAATAGCTCAGAGACAACTGAATCCCAAATATGCCTGAACACCACCCTGCTCCCCGTCTGGGAATGTGCAGCACATCCATGATGAGAGACTTGACCTAAGGTTTTCCTCCAGCTATCTCCAGCTTCTCCTGCTGTCATTTATTTACCCTCAAGTCAGTTCCTTTGGAAGGTGGGGGCCTTGCCTGCAACACATCCCATTTTCAAGACAAGGTGAAAATGTGTGAAATGGAAGGAGAGAAAGATAGATGTGAGTCTGTTTGCAGGCACTCATACAAGAAAAACAAGGAGACCTGTGAACAGTTAAACTTAGGAAACCCAGTTTTCTGCAGCTTTCCCCTGGGGGTTTTCTGAAGACAACTGTAGACTTATGCTACAACCCTCTCCACCAAGGATCCAGCTTGAGCCCTTCTCCACCATTCTGCTGCTTATTTTTATAAAATTTAGAAAAGCTTGATCTCTTTGGGATAACAACCCACATGTCAAACAGGGCCGGAATCAGGCAATTGGGCCAAAAGTGTTCCCTTTTTTATCTAAGCACTGTTTTCTTATGAAAACAAATGAAAACACCAAGTCCCTTCCTTAGACACATGAGGAAGCATCACACTGTGCCTTCATGGAGTTGTGGCTGATCTCTGGATCCTGTGTGCCTGCAGAGCTGTACCTACATTGGCAAAGTGTAGAATCTGTCCTTGCTGCAGTGACGAGCAGCAGGAGCTGGGCACCATGCAGGTGTTTGGCCCTCATTGGGAAGTGGGGCTTTGGAAGGCAGGAGACACTCACACCTTTCCAGACCTGTGACTCACTGCTCACATCAAGGCCCAGTTGTATTTAATGTTAATAAAATGCAGCATTGTATTTAATGCCCATTTTTTCATGTCTAAGCTCTGAGCACCCCCACTGGAAATAAACCCAGAGCACAGCATGAGAATCACTGAGAAGAAAATTCACAACAACAGCCTCTGCTCAAGGAGCTTGGGGATACTCAGCTGTCTTTTCCAACATCCCTGTGTTCCAAAAATCTGGTCCCCAGCTCAGAGGGTTGAACTCAACTGTGCCTGCACTGGGGCAATGCAGGTGAGAGCTCAGCATTCCCCCAAGCTTCACTTTGCCCATTTTCCTGCCTGCAAGCCCAACCCTGTGGTATTTGTGAGAGGCAAGCTGGAATGCGTGCATTTCTGGTTAGCAGTTCCTAAATAAAAATATCTCAGATAAAGGAGAGAAGCGCTGCACTAGCACTGACACTCCGAAAGATAAACAGCAGCCTGGAGTCCTCGGGGGCTCTGAATTTTCTGGTTAAATAAACGGCCCCACCCCAGGAGCCGAGAAGAAAGCGGTGACCGCCCGGCGCTGAGCTCAGCCTGACACCCCGCCAAGAGAGACCTCCACACCCAGGAGAGGCAAAACCCTCCAGGAAACACGATTCTCCTTCACTCCAATTTCTGTTTGGATAATTTGATTTTGTTCCCATTTAGCTTCCCTGCCTTGCCAGCAGCACTGCAGGGTCAATCTTCTGTTTGCCCAAAGCCATTGGCCAAAAGCTCCTCCTTGTCTCTCACTCCTTCCTCCATATCTGTGGGTTTATTTAAAGAAGGGGAGAAACTTACAGCACAAGATATCTTTCATAGTCAGCATCACACACAGCTATTTTGGAAAAGAACAAGGAAACACCCTGCTCCTCATGCTGTTGCCGCCGGACCCCACTTTTACCTCACCCCAGCTGAACACCATGAACTGTCAGAGTCACACAATGTGTCATAATCCTTTGTGGATTATGATTTGTGGAGCCAAAAAAGGACCTGGGTATGGCAAAACATCACAGCTATGGTCCCAGTCTGTCTGGGCTTTCAGGCCAGGGACCAGTGCCCAAGCTCAGCAAGCTCCTTGATGGTCCCAGCTGCAAATCTTCCAATGCATTAGTCTTTCTCCCACACCCAATACTTTTGGCTGGATTTGGACTAAAACATTTTGGGTTAGAACTAAATATGGCAAAATTTCAGCCCCAAGGGCCAGCTTCTCAAAACTAAGCCCACATGCCAGGTGGGAGAAGGGGCATCTCTTCATCACCCACAGCAAGGACATCCAAATCCAGCCAAAGGGGGTTTCCTTGGCTGGAAAGACACCACCAGCCAAAATAAGTACTCAAGATATTCCTTGCAATACCTTTAAAATTTTTCTTCTGTCTTTTTTAAACATGGTGATTTTGGGGCATGGGGAAGGTTTCTGGTCAAGGTTCTTGGGAATGCACCCTCATTGCTCCTGCACATGTGGCACAATAACAATGTTTTCTGCACCCAGGAGAGCATCTCTGAGCCTGGAGTGCACAGAGGACAGGAGCAGCCATGGGAACTTCCAGCAGCTCCCTGGGCCTTGGGAGAGCTGCTT